AATCCCAATACTCTGCTATTAAACTAATATAACCGCTTATTACAAAAAATCTCCGAACAAGTTGACGAGAGCGGATCATATTCGAGCGCCATTTCTGTGACCCGTAGTGACGTAACGCATTCCCAATGCGCATAGCGACTCGGCACCAAACGCGCGCCCTTCTGATTGGTAGGTGAATCCGCTTTTTTCCAAACCGTAAGTCCGCACATGTCAAACCAGAAATGGCGCGTCAGTAAATTCGGCCGCTCGTCACCTTCAAAATTTTTGTAACGAGGTTTATATTAGTTAATACAGAGTATGATTGTGATAACATAGTAAGTTCCAACGATAGCGGAGAGAAGGTTCGTTTGCAGAAATAAAACCGTTTGGAAGATTCTAGTCTCTGGAAAACGCACCAGCAAACCGCCCTGAGGTGAATTCACTCAGTAGGCGTTCCTGAATTTCCTCTACAGAAAACCCATGATGCGACGCGTTGTATAAGCCCTATCCTGGGTTTGGGTCTACATTATTGTATCTAATTCCGACACGCACGTCGTGTATACTGCCTACTGGATGCAAAGGGCGTAGTTAGTTGGTGCGAACGCGACGTGTTTTTGTTGAGCTTCGTCGGCTGGATGTTTAGCAAGTGAAGTTCACTAGTGACGAGTCGGCTAGTAAATAATTCCTGTACTATATTCGATAGATGTCCTATGATCTCTAATCAACTAATTACATTTTTATCTATGTGGCTAGGCTTCAAATTCTGAACACGAAAGATTGGTGGTTGTAGGTACTAGCTAAGCTGATATTGGTACTATCCGTAACTATCCGCGCAAAATGAACACAACGGGTAATATAAACAGAGTCGCACGAGTGTGCCGTGTTATCGGAACTTCACTTGGCAACTACAAAAGGCCAGTTAGTTGACGATGGTTCGGCGGCGCGAATCTCGCCGTGCAAATTCTCGCTGTGAGAAATCTTCGGAATGGTAAATATAAATAGACAGGCGTATTGCAGCAAAGCGATCTCACCACTGTCTCGGTTATAATAACACTATGTTATAGAGCTTTGCCTGATCATCAAGTGATTAGAATGTTCACGTCGCCAACAGGAAGGTCAGCAATGTCTTACAATAGAACTCGCTGCCTAAGATCGGATCCTTTAAAGCCAGATAATAAACTTAAGTCAGGACACGCAAATTGTTTGCTCATTGTAGTCCGCATCTTCTATCGCGAATTCCTTGTCTCAAGTCAGATTTAATTGCCAAGTCAGACAGAAAGTGGCGGTCCCAGCCAATTAGGACATGCTCATAATCAGCAGTTTATTTCGTAACACATCTAATTTTCTCACAAACATTTTTAGGGCCCCACTTGCGGAGGTGAGCGGTTTAGCCAGCAGGCTATTTAATTCACGTTGGGCATCTGTGCTCGTCCATCCGTAGACAAAGAATATCAGACTTAATGGGAAATTTTGCAGACACACAGTTGATCCAATCGTCGCTCGATTTTTGCCCGTTTTGGATAGTTTCAAGCTGCAAAGTAGTCCACATACAAAATACGACAGCAATAGATACTTATATACGTCTTTTTTCATTTATTGTAATATTCCACCGGCAGAAAAGTCTGTTGACATATGCTGAATGCAAATGGTTGGAAATGTCGCAATGACAGTATATTGAAACACATTCAAAATGTTTCTAAAATTGTTTAAAACGTAACTCAAGACCTGCAGGTTAGTTTATTGTCAAATCCCGCTGTGAAATGATGTAAATGGTCGTCCACCATTGCCAGTCAATAATGTTCATCGTCTGTGTACATTGCAGACACTGTGCATTCAGTTTAGCTGGTCCTGCACTGTCATTGCTTCTTGTTCTGGCCCTCATGGATAAAAAAAAGTGGAAGCTAGCTTTGTTCCTCGTGTTGCGACTCAGAACGTCTTACTTGGAGAAGTATCAATAGAGCAACTATTCATAAGTTTTAAAAGCGTCGGTTATTTTAAAACTGGCATTGCTGCTGGTTAGTATTGATTATGAGTCAAATATGTGTCTCGTTTTGGGCCGATTCAGAAAAAACAAACTCACGGCTTCCAAAAATGTCATATGCCAGATAATCCATGCTGAAAATGCATAACAATTAACTTATAAACTTAATGCCAGGAAAACGCTATTGAAATTTAATTAGTGGGGCGACAGTCGAAGATGAATTGTTGACAGAAACCAGAGAAAAAAAAAACTCAATGACGAAAAAAGAATGTATTGCAACACCTTCCTTACCCAGTGGTGAAGGAAAAGCAGCAGCTGTGTATCATTCATATAAGCCAAAATGAGGCGTACAGTAAATAAAGGCAATTACACTTTATCTGGAAGTAAAAACTTAGACGACGAATAAAAGTTCGCAGAAGAAAATTTAACATGTCAGCGTTAGGTCTCAAGACCAGGAAGCTAATTCCTTCTGTAAATGCCTTTTTTGTTCTGCAGCGAAGAATGCCGAAAATACTGTGCATCCAAGTTGGAGGTCTCAAGAGCATCGAGGACAGGTTTATCAAGCATTACTTGAAAAGACTCTACACTCGCTGATCCTAAAGGCGTTTTGGTGAAAGGCCAAGTATTTCTTATAAAGAAAAGACTAGAGGTAGAGCAGAAAACTCTAAACCTCGAGTAGAGTTACGCGGATCCATAGTAAGTTCCAAGATAGTGGAGAAAGGTTCGTGTTGAGAATAAACCCAGTTTGGAAGTTCTAGTCTCTGAAAACGCACCAGCAAACCGCCCTGAGTGATTCACTCAGGGATTCCCTGAATTTCCTCCAGAGAAAACCATAGCGACGCGTTATAACCCTATCTTGGGTTTGGGTTACATTATTGTATCTAGTGTCGGAAGATGCGGCACTACGTAAACTGTTTACCTGTCCTGGCTTTAAAAAAGAAAATTCTGTTTCTCGACGCATGTTAATCATACTTAAAACCTTTTTGCTTCTGTAAACAAACTCGATGTCGCGTTCAAAAGTCGCCGACAAATGTGGCCACGCTGCCATTTTGACCAATTTTCCAGGGACCTAAACTGGTAGCGATTGGTCAGTCGCAACTCACCAATAGCTACCAAGCTTTAAACGGCGGCTACTGGTCGTTAGTGTAGCGTGTGGAACTGTCGACCGGGTACCAGTCTAGTTAACCCCTTACTATACGAAAGTGGATGGCTGCTGGCTGAGCCAGACCGGCCAATCAGCGAACAGTCTTTTGCTTGACGTCATTTCCGTCTACATTTCAACATGACCGTGCCCATTGCAGTTGAAAGGGCTATCGGCGATATTGAAGAAAAATACGACATTACTTTGAAATCCTACCAACGATCAGCCATTCAATCTGTTCTGACCGGGAAGGACACATTTGTGGTTCTACCCACAGGTTACGGGAAATCCTATGTCTACACATTTCTGCCAGAACTTTTCGACTTGTTACTACTTGAACATGATAAGTGTTCCACTGTCTTGGTCATCTCGCCATTACAGGCACTTATGATAGACCAAGTAAATGCACTAAATGCGCTAGGGATATCTGCGACATTTGTCGGGGAGCTGCAGGGCAGTAAGACTGTTGCCAATGATATTCGGAATGGGATGTATTCTATAGTATTTGCGTCTCCCGAAGCCGTCCTTACTAGTGCACGTTGGCGAAGTGTTTTGACCAGGGGTACATTTCAAGAGAGGTTGAAAGCGGTTGCTGTTGATGAGGCACATTGTGTTACACAGTGGTAAGTGATCATGACCTAGCCCCACTTATTCAGTTAAGAGAGAAGAGAGAGAGAGAGGCTATATATATATATATTTATTTATGAGAGGGAGAGAATTGTTATATGTATATATGTACATGTAGATGTTTATTTTTACGCAGTGGCTACGCGTCCGGAACCGGTCGCCTAGCCTCCAGGCCACACACACACCTCTAGCTCTCTCTCTCTCTCTCTCTCTCTCTCTCGCATACACACACATACACATTCTCTCTCTCTCTCTCACGCATACACACACATACACATTCCT